AATTAATCTGAATTTTTTCTTCTTTATAACATCAACGTTACAAAACGTTCTATAGATAACCACAAAAGATAGCTAAAGAAAATTTTAATTCTCTAGTTTCGTCAGATTTAGAATGAGATTGTCTGGCCTAGTCTTAACGTATCAATGGACCGTGTCCAACGTGATATGCAAGTGCGATAAAGATAGTTGCCTCGAGTAAGATACGGGGAACTGCTCTCGTGAACCTCAAGAGACAGCCAAGAAGATTATTATTCCCTTGTCCAAGGGGTCGAATGACTCAGTCTCCTCTTCTAATCTGATTAATTGAAGCAGCCTAATTTCTGTATCAAATGTGCGGTTAAATATGCGGTTAAATATGCAACATGTACTAAAAATAAATGAATTAATATAAAATATTGTAATTTTATATTATATATATAATAATTTTTTTCAAGCACTATATTAAAAAATATATATGTATAGAATGTCTTAAAAATATTTTTCCATATGTAATTTATAGTTAAAAATCAATATGTATTTGCAAGGGAGAGAGCCTAGCTCAATTGCAAAAAAAGCAATAGATTAATGATAGTCGAAAGAATGATACACGAAATAAAATACTTTCTTTTCAAATAAAAATACTTGTTTAATTTTATTATTAAAAAATCATCAAATATATATACATATAGTAAAAAATGATTAATCATTGACTAGAATGATAGTGATTTAGGGTAGTGATTAAAGGGTAATGAAAATAAAAGATTTGATAAATGACCAGCACTTTCTTTAAAAGCTTCGTTATGCCAGTGGAATTTCGATTCATCACTGAATGGACCCCCTGTTTTACAACTCCACTTTTAGAAAACTATGAGATCCAGGATAAACGAACAATAAAAATGTTGAAAGTCTTTTGCAGATAAACTTTACAGATAAAAAAAATTCTTCCTATTTCAGTTAATCATTATTTAAAATTAAATAATTATTAATAAAAGATTTTTATTTTAAACTATTTATAATTATTCTATTAAGTAATATAAATCTTTATATAATTTAATTTAAGAAATGGACAAATATACAGGACATAAGAAATGTTAAAAATACGATTTACGTTTAGCCACGGGACACGCTTTGGTAAATTCTGCGCGATAATTTTAAAAATTATGTTCTTATAATTATAAAAAGCTTTTGGTTGATTTCATCGGTATAATAATGATCAATGAATCGCCACGTGGATCCAGAAAAGATCTCTTGCTACGAGCGATGCTGTCTTAGCGACGCGCCTGCGCCAGGCATGAACGTCGCGACGCGATGGTCGGGTATCCTCGAGAAATATTCGAATGTCAGCTCAGTTCTATCGTGCCTTACGCTACAGATCGGTTTTACCCTTGTCAACTCCCGTATACTCTTTTCTTTTTAATTTTTCAACTAAATATCGGCATAAAAAATTGATGAATTTAATCTCGCAAATCCAAAGAAATAATATCTCTCTCTCTCTCTTTCTCTCTCTCTTTCGTGTTTTTTTATTAAAACATATTTTTAATATTTTTTATATTAAAAAATGTTATTTATATAAAATTTTAAACTCTTATACTCAATTTAATTTATGTTTTTTAACATGAGCGTCTCAACGAATCAATCATTGAGTGATCATTAACTTCAACTGTAGATAATAAATACTTCTCTTTGGTGATTCGAGATGAATGGATGGAATCGATGAGTGCATAGATTTTAATAGTGAAGTGAAAATGAGAATAAAAGCGGAAGATTATTACGCCAAACGGAGCGCCGAATATTTCGGTAATTATCTTCCGATATTATCTAATTTTTTCAGTCGTGATGATAACTTTAAGTGCTTAAGAAAAAAAAATAACAAATCAATAAGTTAATAAATAATTAATTTTGAAACTAAAATAATTAATTTAAGAGAAAAAATATAATAAATCAATTTCTAATAAAAAGTTAATTCGGAAATAACTGTTGTAAATAAATAAAAATAAAATTGATAAAATATTATAGTATTATGTATAAATTTTGAAAAACATTTCACATATTGCATAATTATATAATATTTATCATAATATAAATAGAGAATATTTTTTCGACGCACATGTGTTTGTATCTTTCACAAATTTTTTACGAAGACGTCAGGTATCGCATCCCGATGCATCCAATGTAGGATACGTGATATGTTAATGAAATGCAAACCTAACTGCGTGTGAGTCGAATACAGATGAGACTGAAGTAGCATCAGATTTACGCAGACTATTTGTCAATTCTTTGTTCCAAAATTGCTGTATTCTTGTATTTTAGTCTTAAAATTAATTATTTATTAACTTATTTCCCTCCTGACATAAAATTTTGTAAAATTAAATAAAAAATTAAGTTTTTATTGGAGTTCAAAATTTTCAAAATCCATAAATTTGGTACCGACTTTTTACTCAAAAAACATTAACATAAGTTATACGATCAATAATAATAAATATACATTTTAATTTTTATATATGTAATTTTTATTTTTATTTTTTCTTTATTAAAACATTTTTTACTTATAGAATTTTCATATTTAATATAAATAAAATAAAATTAAGAATACAAAAAAATATCTTTAGAACTTTTTTTACAAAAAATAGGTTATTTATAAAATTGTGATTAAAAATCTTATTTCAAAACGATTTAAAATATTTTCTGATTATGATAGAAGAAAAATATGAAAGAATGTAGACCGATAAATTATATTTTGAACAAATCCAAACAATGCAAACGGATTATATTTCAGTCTATCGCTACATATTTGGCCTATGGTTGTATAATACCATCATTGTTTGATATAGTCAGCGTAGAAACGGACGATTCGAATGGAGAACTCAGAACTTAACATGCACCATACGTATAGAAAAAATTATGGGCATCACCTAATTCGTCTTGCCGAAGCTGAGCGTGAAAACAATGTGTGCGGGGTGGGGCCTCGAAATAAACGGTACGATTTCCTCTCGAGAGTGACTTTGAGCAGTCGTACTTCGACATCCGCGGGGTCGTCTTCGTTAGAAGTTATCCTTGATTAGAAAAGGCAAAAATTTTTTCCAAAAAAAAAACAAAAAAAAAGAAAATGTTATCAAAGTGCGCGAGAATTACACAACTGCCGGTGACACTCAATCGTAATCACGAGTAGAAGATTGAAATTTAGACTCAGTTAAAACGGAGGGTGTTACAAGAAACGAGGTAGTGAATTTTTCAACAACTTGTCTTCTGAATTGAGAGAAACGATGGTCGATATCTGCGCTAGTCCTCAACTACAAAGACGAAACCGACCAAACTTTTTAGATCTTTCCGCAATAAAACGTGAGTCGAAGTGAGAGAGCGTGAACTCTCGAAAAATGCGAATTAAAATGTAAATGCATTGCGTACGTCAAGCCGCAAAAAATCAAATCATTGCGTCTTAATATAATCTGACATGCGCTTCTTCGAGTACGTTGATCTTTTTGCAGCAATTATCATCATTCAGGAGCGACCCGCGACCCACGTGCGTTACAAATCGACTGTATCTCCCGCGATATTATCATTATGGTTACCAAGCATTACTGACAGTAAAAGTTAAAATAAAATTCACAAAACACGAAATTATAATAATACAAAAAATAATTATAATAATACAAAATAATAATAATGTAATAATTATGTATATGTATTTAATATAAAATATTTCGATAATACAATATAAAAAAAACGAACTTGAAGAATAAGTTTAAGAGAGTCTTAAGATTATTTTTTGCTATGATCAAGAAAAATATTAGAACTTTTATTTAAAAAAAAAACATACAAATAGTTATAATAAATATAGTTTCTGATAAATATAAGACAAAAAGAACGCATGCAAAAAATTTTAAAGAAAGTAACATTAACGCCGTCAACTAAGTAATTAAAATTCTGTGTAGGGACTATATGTATGATATATATGAAATTTACTTTGAGTCTAAAACGAATTTAACTTGGCCTCGCGGGTAATAAATCCAATTTAAAACCGGAAACATCGAAAACGGAAGCACCTACCATAGCGGGAGTAAAAGTTGTTGCCACACAG